TATTCCGCGACAGTAATCTTCTTCTCTTCATTTCTAGGTTTAACACCCCACCGATAACTGGTAACAAAGGTAAACCATTTTTATGCTTAAAGGGAGTGACATGCTAGAAATGGTAATTCAGCTGAGAGTGCAGTCTTGTACAGTGAAACCCTTAATAACGAATACATCGGAAGAATTTATCAAATGTCGTCTTGACAATTTTTCAATGAGTTTTTTACTACAGTAAAACCCTTAATAACGAATACATCGAAAGAATTCATCAAATGTCGTATTCTTAACTTTCTGAAAATGGAATGTTGCAGATATTTAGTTTATTAATTAAATGATTATATTGAACTCCTTAAAACTGTTCCTGCATATTCATGGATATTTATTTATTTTCGTATATACTGAAATTTACGTAATATAGTATAAAATTCATTGAAAAATTGTCAAGACGACATTTGATAAATTCTTCCAATGTATTCGTTATTAAGGGTTTCACCGTATATTACGTAAATTTCAGTATTTGCGAAAATAAATAAATATCCATCAATATGCGGGAACAGTTATAAAGAGTTCCATATAATCATTTAATTAAAAAACTAAATATCTGCATCATTCCATTATCAGAAAGTGAAGAATACGACATTTGATGAATTCTTTCGATGTATTCGTTATTAAGGGTTTCACTGTAGAGAAATTTTTAAGGATTCATTTGAGACTTATGAGTCTTTTAACGGTTGTTCATCAAGAGCAAACATTTTATTTTAAACATCCTTTTGGATTGTATATTCTGGAGGCTTGATTTTGAAAAATTATTTAACAACGACGACGTAAATGTAACAAAAAATATAATTAAAAAATTAAAAAATGCGCAGTAAAAAATCAATAAAATCCACAGATATTTTATTATTGTTTGATAATTTTTAGAAGAGATCACGCGGATTTAACGGTTCTGTCAATTTTCCAGAAAGCTGTGACTTTCGATTTGTTTGACCCCTTAAACATAACTTGTTAGCCTTTTTTCTTAAATACTTTTTTGTTTGCATATACATTTTGAATGAAAGTGTATGAAATAAACAAATCCGTAAAGCAAATGATTATTGAATTAAAGACCAAAACACGTTTGATTTCAAGAAGGAGAAACCGAATGCTGCTCACTCTGGTTAGTCCAGTGTGAGATAAAGCCGCAGATAGAGTCACAACAATGCTTGTGGAATCGATATTTCTTAATAAACTATTATAAATTGGTTTGTTCCTGTATACAAATGAATTTCCATGCAAGCAACTCAAAACCACTTCATGAAATAAATATTTTCAAGAATTATACAGGGTGTCCAAATAAATATGCCTGTTGATAAAATACACAAAGATCGTCTATAATATTTGATTTTTAACATACAGCTTTCCAAAATATGGTGTTACACCTACTAAAGAGCTAATATATCATGCAAACATTTTTTCACACACAATTTATCCATGGATAGTAGAAATATATCAAAGATTAAGACGACCTTTAAACCTTTCCTGTTTAGTGACAGCCTGTAATACCATTTATGATAAAGAAATGGTTAGAATAAAAGGATAGAAATTGTTTGTAAGTAATTTTTCAAAAATTTTAGTTTATTGGTAAACAGATAGTTATTTTTAAATTTGAAAAGAGTAACTACAGTCGTCGCCGTATATATCAATACAACGAAGACGGCTTTCTATATTGATTTTGATTTCTACCAAGTTTTTTAACAACATTGATACACATGGAAACAAAGGCAAAAGCTGTCAATAAGCATCTTCTCTTGATTTATATGTAAACTTGTAAGTTGAAAAAAGGTTGTTAGAAATCAATACTTGAATAGAAAATTCGTCTTCATTGTATTGAAATAAACGCCGACCATTGTACAAAAACTACCAGAACAACAACATCATCCCTGCGTCAATTTTACACTTTTTTTCTAGATTATTAGTGGTGAAAATATTCCTAAAACTGGCATGATAAGGTCCTTCTTCATTTTGATTGTTTTAACATCTAGAAAATTGGAATTGTTAATTATAAGTTATAAATCAAGCAGAAATACTTTTGTTTCTTAAATGTTGTATTCTCATGGTCAAATAGATGATCAAGTACCATAGGTGGCAGCAGAGAAATGGGCCAATTAAACATGACGTCACAAGTGTCAAATATAACAATGAAAACGAAATTATCTCACGTGACATGTTTTCCAAGATTAAACAAAAAATGTAAAATCAGAAAATAAAGAACACATAAAATTGCACTTATTTTACTGTAAGATAAACACTTTATTCTTTATTCTTTCGTCTTTACACACTCATTCTTTGTGGGTAACCCTGTATGTCATTTGTAGTTTCCGATGTCAAGAAATGTTAAGCACACAAACTTCACGAGAAAACTGACAGATTTCCTTCACCTTGTAGATATGACTACTAACTAGTCTAGGAACTAGGAGTACAAAATATGGATATTGAACGAAATAAATTCACTTCGAATTTTTATAAACATTACTCCATGACGGTTCTTTTTATCAGATACAAATGTTTTTGTTTAAGTTTGGTTTCCATTTCTTCAAATGTGTCTATTTATAGATTAGATATTTGTTTGCGGTAGGTATTCATTTTTGAACCTTGACGACTGAAACTTGTCAATTGGTCAATAGAAGTAAACCAAGATCGTGAGAAATTGGTTGAATTATTACTTTGGTCTGAGAGAACCAGGAGAGCCAGGAGAACCAGGAGAACCAGAAGAACCAAGAGAACCAGGAGAATCAGGAGAACCAGGAGAACCAGAAGAACCAGGAGAACCAGGAGAACCAGGAGAACCGGGAGAACCAGGAGAACCAAAGGGGAACTGAATGAACCAGGAGAACTGGGAAAACCCAGGAGAATAGGAAAACCAGTAGAACCAGCTGAACCAGCAAGGAGAACAAGCAGAACCAGGAAAACCAGCAGAACCAGCAGAACCAGCAGAACCAGCAGAACCAGCAGAACCAATAGAACCAATAAAACCAGCAAAATTAGGAGAAACATGCCTACCAGGAGAACCAGGAGAACCAGTAGAACCAGGAGAACCAGAAGACCCAGAAGAACCAGGAGAACCAGTAGAACCAAAAGAACCAGGTAAACCAGGAGTACCTCGAGAACCAGGAGTACCTCGATAACCAGGAGAACCAGGAGAACCAGGAATACCAGGACAACCAGGAGTGTGTCCTTGATTTGACCACATCATCTTAATCACGTATTAACATGAGGTAAAATTGTACATGGTGGAGATTCTGTGGTTTTTAACCATCTTGTTGCAATATTTTGCATTTATCTGCTCGCAAAAATAACAAGGTTCAATATTCATAAATTTTAATTATCTTCAACATATGATGTCCACGTAAAATATAGCTCAACATAAAAGTCATCTTTTACGCGGTATCTTTATATAAAAAGTTGTAAACTCTATTTGTTTGCTTGGATGTTCGATCATAACTCTTGAACCCCTAGACCGATTTGCCTTAAATTTTTATTGGGGAACTCAGGAGAACTACGGGAATGTTCTTAGTTTTGTTTTGATTTTGTTTAGTGCAGGTTCTCTTTTATAAGCTAAAATCGTAATTTACAACAAAGCGCGGGTAAACGGCGTGAGTATCTATAGAGTACCCTGGTCAACGCTTTGTTCTCTAGCTAGACTGTTATAAAGGTTGTCCCGCGACACATGACAGTTGACAGCTGGGGGAAGGTTGAGGGGAACGGGGAAGGAGGGAGGGAGGAAGGGAGAAAGGGAAGGAGGGATGGAAGGGAATTATATCTGACATTGAAAAAGTTTGGTTAAGTAATGGCATCCTATTAACCTGTGTGTTGCAAACATTAAATTTTCATGGGAAAAAATTGGCTAAGTGAAAATATGTCATATCTTCTCTTTAAAAATAATCAGTTTATTTATATTTCCACTATAATTGATTTAATATAAATTATTTACAACTAAACTGCCCTCAACTTAATACCATGATAGGTCAGCATGAAACTACGTTTAGACCATTTAAACCGTTCAAACTGAGCTAAACCACCATATGGTCAGAAACATAGAAAACACAGATCGGAGGAGAAAATTGGTCTTTCAATTTATCTATGTTTGACGTTTGTTTATTTGTTTACATTTAAAAGGGGATCATACTAAGAATAACTGTAAGTGACCCTCCAGGCAAAGATTGCATTGCCTGAAATTCACAACAGTACCCTTTGAACCCTTTGAATCAATAAAGTAGAAGATTTGACTTTGTGCCAAAGACTCAATTCCTTTATAGATTTTAAGAATTAAACCCAATTGTTTAGTTTATGCAGAGTAAAATTGTAAATTTACAAGCATAAATTTATTATGATTTGAATCAACAGTTACATAGTATATTTTTAATTGACAGTATTATTATCTTAACAAAAATTAATTTTACTTTTTCGAAATTTTAAATTTGGTTTTTAACAATTTTTAATTTGATCCATGTAATTTTTGTTGAAACCGTGGACAACTTTGAACCACTCATGAACTTATTAGTAAAAGTAGAAAAAATAGGGTATAAACATACAGAGTATATATAATATATAATATCACAACACTGGTTTACAGGCAGATCTTAACATTTATACTCATGTTCATAATATAATGATTATTAAACATTTACATACAGATCAATTTTCATGCATTCAAATCAATTAATTTAATTTGAGTATTTTTTCCGATTTACCTAATCAAATTAATTCCTAGATCATTCATAAAAAGAGATACAATCTCAACAATTATGGTGATTAATATGATTGATGAGAAAAAATGATAAATTTATTAGTTTTTAACCTATCACCGGGTAAGTAAATTGATCAATGGAATTATAATTCTTAATTTTTAGATTGAAATTTATTTATTTCTCTTGAAATTTTAGATTTGATAATGAATGTTTTTTTCTTACAGTAGTAGGCAATTAAATCAATACAATAAAGCCGATTTTTTATTTCAGTTTACAAGTTTACAAGTAATCAAAGAGAAACTTTTTAAAATGAGGGTTTCTCTTGAGTTCTATGTTTATATGTATCCATGCTATTTAACATGTATGTTGATAGAAACAAAATTGAAATCGAAAGTCGTCTTCATTATATTGTTGAAATCGCCTACCACTGTAATAATGAACTTTTTAATGATGTTTTTTGATAAATAACCAATAAATTAGTTAGTTTATACTATCAACAGTTAAATAGGTTTAAGAGATTGGATTTTATGCTTCAACTCCTTCAACTGTTGTGATTTGGATCAACTGTCTCAACCTGAAATATCAACCATTAATCAATCAATCAACTGTCTCAACCTGAAATATCAACCATTAATCAATCAATCAACTGTTTCAACCTGAAATATCAACCATTAATCAATCAATCAACTGTTTCAACCTGAAATATCAACAATTAATCATTCAATCAACTGTTTCAACCTGAAATATCAACCATTAATGAATCAATCAACTGTTTCATCCTTAAATATCAACCATTAATCAATCAATCAACTGTTTCAACCTGAAATATCAATCATTAATCAATCAATCAACTGTTTCAACCTGAAATATCAACCATTAATCAATCAATCAACTGTCTCAACCTGAAATATCAATCATTAATCAATCAATCAACTGGCTCAACTTGAAAACATTTTAAATTGATGAACAGCAGGTTTTAATCAAATTAAACGAAAAGATTTCGTTAACAAACGACAAAAACCGACAAAAAAAAAAAAAAAAAATATTGAGATAGTCAAAGAATGGAAATACAATTCAGAAAAAAAAACGGAAAATCAAAAAGAATGAACTGATCAAAAATGCCAAAAACTTCCGTTAATTTTTCAACATTTAATACCATGAAACAATTACAGAACAGAAAAATTAAATTCACACCGCTTTTGAATATTTTTAGAAATATCAACCATTAACACCATTAATATAATTAAGATGGTTAATGAGCGATGACTTAAGGTAAGAATAAAAAATAAAGATAATCAAACGGAACGTCATGAGCTAATAAGGAACGGATACCTAAAAAGTTGGTCCGTTCCGTTAGTTTACCAAACCAGTGATGAACGGTTTTAACAACTCAAAACCGTCAAATTTTCAACACTTTTTAATATTTTTCATTTTGCTCATAAATGAGCAAAATGCCAGCTTATAGAAAATAGCCTCCATTTTAAAAATATCAAAACTTAAGAATTAAATAAACATTCTCAAAAATTCAATAATCCCTTCCTTATAAAATTCAATAATCCCTTCCTTATAAAATTGAATAATCCCTTCTTTATAAAATTAAATAATCCCTTCCTTATAAAATTCAATAATCCCTTCTTTATAAAATTAAATGTTAAATTTAAAAATATTTGAACTGTTCTTACCTTATTTATTGGAAACTTTTTCATTGTTTCCAAACACTGTGCACTTGCTTTGTAGTTTTCTCGTGCACATTTGATCTGTCCCTATAGACAATCAATTAATTATGACATACTGCACAATTGCCGAGGCGTTTGCACAATGAATCATTTAAGACACACTGCGCAATTGCCCTGGTGTTTTCTCACCGCATTCAATCAGTCTCTAGAAAATCAGTCAATCAGTTATTGCTGTAGTGTATTTGCACATTTAATCTGTCCCTAGCAAATAAATCAATTAGGACACCGTGTGCAATTTTTAGGGTGTTATTGAATGCGCATTTACTCTGTGAGTCTGTACATCTAGAGAATTAATCAATAAAGACACACTGCGCAATTGCTGAAGTGTTTTTATGTACATTGCACATACAGCCAGTCTCTAGAAAATCCATGCGCAATTGTTATGGTGTTATTGAATGCGCATTTACTCTGTGAGTCTGTACATCTAGAGAATAAATCAATTAAGACACACTGCACCATTGCCGATGTGTTTATGCACATTGCATATTTAATCGGTATCTAGAAAATCAATCAATTAAGACAGACTGTGCAATTGCCAAGGTGTTTTTATGTACATTGCACATTCAATCAGTCTCTAGAAAATCAATCAATTAACACACACTGCACAATTGCCAGGATGTTTTTTTGCACATTAAACATTCAATCAGTCTCTAGAAAATCAATCAATTAAGACACACTGCGCAATTGCCAAAGTGTTTTTATCCACATTGAACATTCAATCAGTCTCTATAAAATCAATCAATTAACACACACTGCGCAATTGCCAAGGTGTTTTTATCCACATTGAACATTCAATCAGTCTCTAGAAAAACAATCAGTTAAGACACACCGTGCAATTGCCAAGGTGTTTTTTATGCACATTAAACATTCAATCAGTCTCTAGAAAATCAATCAATTAAAACACACTGCGCAATTGGCAAGGTGTTTTTATGCACATTGAACATTCAATCAGTATCTAGAAAATCAATCAATCAAGACACACTTCAATTGCCATAAAAAAAACTTTTTCATTTCTAAACAGTGATGGTTAAAAATAGCAGACTACAGTTTTTTTACAATATATTTTTTAGAGTCTTGAAATATTAATGTATTAACTCGTAAGCCATCAAAATAGTGATTGGGGAATATTTTTCTCAAAAAAAAAAAAAAGTTTTAAAAAAGAAGTTATTGCTTTTTACCTCAACATAATGAAGGAGCGCGAGTTTAAAATCTTGAATACGTTTTGAGTGGAAGGCTGTTATCTCTGATTTTGCAAGCTCACTACACTCTACAAACTCACGTTCAGCTTCATCCCTGAAAACAAATATGTCCTACTAGCTCAAGTGTCCTTTTTTGCCCATGGAATATTAAAAACCGTGGGGAATATTTTTTTTGAAAAGTTGGCATAAAAAATTAGAAAAATTTTGAATTTTTAAAAAAATCCATAGAAATCAGACTCATAATTTTTAGTGACCCACCATTTGAAGAGTGGCATGTTAATTCACAATATATCCTTAAAACCTTTGACTGATCAAAGATGACGGACTTTTTCTTATTCAGCTGCAGATATGCTTTGAACACGATTTGATAGATAAACGCATGTAGTTCTCTGTCTTCAAAGATCTTTTCAAGAAGGGCACTTGAATTTTGCCTTAAAATCCATTTAAGACGATTTTTCATTTTTTTCTTAATCAAATTAGTTACCTAATCAGCTTTGCCGCCTCTTCTCGGTTTGGTTTGGCCTTCTCCACCCCTCTAGCCGCACTCTCAGCTTCAACCATTAAACTGGTTCGTCTACAAACCGGTTATCCAGGAGGTACCCACAAAGGATGAGACTTCAAAGACGAGTGTACGGAACTTATACTGACTGTTTCCTATGTTTATGGTTTCATGCTAGGCTGCAACTGTAAACTTGTTTTTGTTCTTTATTCAATTATTAAATAAGCCATAACACGAAAATCTGCAAAGCAGATGTGCATAATTCAACCTTGGGATCTTCATATTTAAACATTAATAGGTCGTCATTACAGTCTCATCCTTTGCGGTAAACCCATCAATCAAAACAAACAATTTAACTTTCTTAGTTGTCATATGTGTTTAGAAGAATTTGATCAATTCATTAAAAACCTGTCTTAGAATTTATATTTATTTTTAGTCTTACATTTTTACTGAAGTATCACTTTGTTCAATTTTTTGAGAAATGAAAATATATTTTATAGCTAAAGGTTAAATAGTTTTTTTTTTAAATCAGGATAGTAATTTTGTTACAAGCTAAAAGCCTGCAATACTCAATTGGTATAATTCAATACAATATTTATTTAAAAGTTTCTAAATAAAAAAAAATACGAAAGAAAAAGTTATGTCTAACCTTAAAAGCATTGAGTTTTCTGCCTCAACGCATCTAGAGTACTGTTCCAGGTAACTACCTAGGCTGACCTCCTCAGCTGCAACCTAAATATATATATATATAAATAAATATATTATAGAATATATATATATTATAGAATAGAGTACATTATTGCTAGATACTATACTTTTTGTTCTAAGTGAGTTTTATATAATGCGGTGTACCGTCTTTATATGTTAAAATTGACAGAATTATTAGATCATTATTTTTAATATGTCAAAAATTGGGAGAAAACTTTTAAAGCCTTATAAATTCCCAGATGGGATACCCTGTTCCAGGGGCTTGAAACTTATTATTTACATTAAATTAATAAAATGTTCAAAATTTTTTTTTTTTAAATCCTTAAAAATACCTCGTTTTCCAGTCCTGTCTTCATAGTTTCAACACACCCTGAGAATCCAGAGTTTAGTTTGTTGTATAAACCATTGGCTCCTGAAAAATTTAAAAGTTTTTCAATTTTCTTACAACCCTATAGGTAGCCTCTAGAATGGTATAGCTATGGATATTTAGGAAATGTAACGAAGAAATCATCAGAAATCCGCGAAAAATGGATCATTTTCAGGTCTGAGCTGAAAACTTTAGAATTAGATACCTTTAATCCTTTAATCTGAATATCCACTTTGGACACTTTTTATTTCCTTCTGAATCCAGTACTTTTCTTTCCTTAACTATCCCTGCATATTTTTCACTCTATCATTAAATAGCGCGCAAAATTTCAAATTTCCTTGCTTCTCTGATTGGCTGTTCCTGTTTCTATAAACCCCACTCGATTGGTTGTGTTATGTACATTTTTGTAGATACAAACTTAAAATTAGCAAAAAGTGAAGATTAAGCATTAATCCACAATTCTAAAGTTTTCAGCTCAGGACATTTAAAATTTGCAAAGAATTTAGGCACTTTATTGAAAATGGACCTTGTGCATGGAGGGTCTTATTAAAATCCTAGAAAACCACCAAAATTCTTCACTTTTATGCAAAGTAAGGGAAAGGGTTGGCTGCATATGTGGAGAAAGTAAGAAAAAAAATCAGAAAGAAATTCTACACAAAATCGTTGCAGTCAGTTTCAGATAAGACTCAATTTTTGTGTTCATCCAATTTATACCATAAATTTTTTTTGCAATGGAGGATAAAATGAGCAAAAAATCTAAATCTTAATTTTTTAGGGTTAATTTAAATGTCCAAATATAACCTACTTATTTGAACACTTTTAAATCCATAAGACTGATACATTTTGGCAAGCAAATTTTTACTTCGTTACATTTAATAAAAATCATACAGTTAGCTTGTGCACAAAAAAGTTGTGATTTAGTTAGCTACTTTCAAATTGACATAAATGTATTCGTGTTCTCCGGCCTAGTTTGAAAATATAATTTATGCCGAAAGCAAGCATCTAATCTATTTAAAAATTTTAATAAAAAATATTTTTTAAAAAAAGTTTCAAAAAAAGGTATTTTCAAGATCTTTTCAATTGTGGATTGCGGATTTTGACATAGTACAGTGGAACCCTTATTAATGAATACATCGGAAGAATTTATCAAATTTTATCTAGACAATTTTTCAATGAGTTTTATACTATATTACGTAAATTTCAGTATTTGCGAAAATAAATAAATAAACATGAATATGCGGGAACAGTTTTAAAGAGTTCCATATAATCATTTTATTAAAAAACTAAATATCTGCAACATTCCATTATCAGAAGGTGAAGAATACGACATTTGACGAGTTCTTTCGATGTATTCGTTATTAAGGGTTTCACTGTAACTAGGTTTGTGTCGCAAACTCTGAATATTTAGACCTGTAATTTTCCAAAATTTGAATTCTGTTTGATCAATTAATCTAAGTTTACACAGTCAGGTTGCAAAGTTAAAAATATTGGCCTGCTCCGCTCCCACATTTGAACCTATATCCTTTACTGTATTTGGCCTCAATTACCTTCGTTACCAGCAACTGTAATATTAAGTGATGCTGCAAGATGACCCATCTGCTGAATAAGACGAAGCCTAGCACTCACCATCTGCTGGAACTTTTCACTGGTATCTCTGCAACAGATGTGACATTCATAAAATGGTATCAACCCACCCTCTTAAAAATTAGTAAAATTGGAGCAATAAAGCTTAAAAGTACAGGGTGGCCCAAAAACATGACAGTTTCAAATGTCGTCTTCCATAACTTTTTTTGTTGTTTGATACCAAGGAGAGTAATTATCAACATTATACTGCAGTCAAAATATAGTAAATTGATTATCAAAATAAAAAATATTTTAGTTAAAGACGAAATTAACGAATTAAACTGCAAAAAGTGTTTAATATCCAATACTGTGTATGGAAGAAGACATTTAAAACAATTCATCTTTTGTGGGACACCCTGTAACTTTATACTTAATAATGCTCGAGGGAGAAATGTGTTTTTATGTTCATACTAATATCTCTAGTCCAACAAAGCCTGCTCATTAAAAAATCATACTCTAACTTTAATGGTTAGGGTGCAAGGAAAGATTCTTGAAAAGTTTAAAAAGTACATCAGAGTAATATACATCCGACATGTGTATTTTTATATAAATCAATTTTAGATCTGTAGCTTAATCAATAAAAAAGTCATAGACTATTTTATTTCACAGTCTCCTATGCATAAAAAGATATATTTTTAATGCAAAATTTGTTCACAATCATGGAATTGTAAAAGTAAAGAAGTTTGAGCGTTCTTTATTGTGTAAGCCGTTATTAAGTTATGAAAAAAAAACCACAAATGGGGGAGTTCGAACCCCCCCCCCCCCCACCCCCATAGTGAACAAGTTAATAAAAAAAACTAGGTTGAGACAATGTCTGTACTTATTAAAAATTAGAAATAAAAAAACTTACTTGATATTACTGGAATACACTGTCGCCCATTCTCTCTCCTTCCCAAACCATTCATCACAATCTCTGGAAAAAAATCCGTATTTTTCTTTCACTTGAAAAGTAGTTCTTTACCTCCAGAATAACAAGAATGTTAGAGGACATTTGCTGAATTTAGAGTAAATAACAGATTTTTAATTAAAAAGTGTCAAAAAAAAGTGGGAAAAAAATTCAATTTTTCATATATCTTTACTAAATGTTCGAATAAAAGACAGATGTGATGTTTCTATAAAATATATTTTAAAAACTTTGAAAACTTTAATTAACTTTGCATATTGGTAGAACTTACTTTAATTAACTTTGCATATTGGTAGAACTTACTTTGCAGCACTGTGCCTTGAATCCCACTTATCTTTAACACCTGAAAGCCATCCTTTCTTCAACTTGCTCGGCCTAGAGATTAATACAAAGATGACTCTAAAATTTCCTTCGATCTATTTTGAAGTAAAAAAATTACTTGTGACATACATTGAGAAACAGAAAACTCTGAAAGTGGGAAGACGACTTTAAAACTGGGATAATGATTTTAAATAGTGCATTGGAGATGAGACAAAGCAGTTGTGTAAACAGACCTTGAATCAATAATTCATAAGTAAAGCTATTTGCTTTGAAACAACATCAAATGCTAATAAGTATTGCTTTAATGTCGTCTTTCTATTCCACAGTTTTCTGGTTCTCACTCTACATCACACACTTTAAACAATTAAGAACAATAAAATTTACCCAATTGTTTTTTTTTTTAAATGTGGTCTGTTCTGTACATTCTGAATTGTTAGATAAAATATTTTTTGTAACGGTTTCAATTCTTATAGTTAACAAAGTCTGGTCTACAGAATTGAACCCTGTGGGACTCCAAAAATACCTGGGTGGAGGGTCTTGTCTCTCCAGAAACTCTGAGAGACTTGAATCCTTTCCAATAATTGGATGAGAAACCACCATTTCCAAATATCTTTCCAGAGCACGACAATCCTAAAAAGTTTAGATTAACTTGTGAAATATGAAGACTTAACAATTAAAATTCACTTTTTGAAAAAGGCCCGAGATGGTAACTCTTGTATTGTGAATATTAGAGATGTCAACGTTTTGATTTTTCTAGATTTTAGCTTTCGTTACGATAGTGTTCATCAAAAGTATTAACGTTTAAAACGTTACGTTGCACATTGTGAAAATTTATTGCATATAGTAATGGTACGTAATGAATTTTCTGCACTTGAATACCATATACAATGTTAAGCTTTAGTAAATTTTAGTGAAAAAACAGTAAGCTCCGTAACGCTTTTGCATTTCCCGTTTTAAAAAACTTTCCCAACGTTGCGTTAAAGCTTATGTAATGAAACCACAATTTTTTAACGTTCCACTTTCATGCAAGGTAAATATTTTCAGAGACCTTACGTTACACTTTCACATGGTTTAAGATCTAAAAGATGACAAACGTTTTGCTTTAATAAAACGTCATTGGGGCATAGTTCTGTACGTTACAATGCATTTCAGTGCAAAGAATATTTTTTGTTAACGTTACGTTTTATCTTAATTTTTCCAATATAAACTCTTTTAATTACGTTAAAAAATTTAACAAAAAGCAACCTTTCCTAACGTAACAATTAACCAAAACGTAATGGGAAAAACTTTTTGGTAAAACTTTTTAAAAACTAAAAACAAAAACGGTTATTCGTTTCGTTTCTAAGAAAAATTTGAAAAAATGTTCTATACGTTGCGTTGTTCAAGCCTTAATGTTTCTAACGTTAGACTTTATTAAAATAACATTGTTTCTAAATGAAAGCATTGCAAGATTTTTTCCAGAGCAGATTAATATTGGAATAGAGCAAACCGCTCATCGGAAGTGCTGCGTTTTCACCGTAAGGCCACAAAAAAAATTTTATTTTTTATTTTTATGTTATACATCATTTATACATTCAATGCTAAATTCAAATCTGAAAAGCGTTTTAAAAAATTAAAAATTGAGTGAGTCAGAGCTAAAAAACTCATCAAAAACATTAAAAAGTTATAAAACCAGAATTTAGTACCGTTATTTGGCCATAACTTCTTTAGATTTTAATATATTTAAAAATGGTTTTCGAATCTGAATTCAGCATGAAATTTCCAAGAAAATGATGTATCATATTTATTTTTTAAATATTTTTTTAGGCCTTACGGCGATATCTCCAATATTAAATTGTCAATTCGCAACCCTATGGAAAACACTCCTAAATTTCAAATCATCAATCAGATAAAAGTTTACACGTTATCATAAGGAATCGAGCATGGCCCTCTTTAAATTGAAGATCACTTGAAATTATCATCGTGTATTTGACGAGCTTAAAAAATAGACATGTTTGGGGACACTTCATTAAATGAGTTAAAATTCGGCAAGGCAAACCACTTTTGCATGTGGAGCAGTAGTTCTAAATTATTTTAGATTAGTTTAGGGTTAATTTTTTCTTTTTTTACGTTTAACGTTCACGTTATATAGAATATATCCAAACGTTACACATTATTGTAACGTAACGTACAAAAACGTACATTTTACGTTACGTTACACTGTCGTTGACATCTCTAGTGAATATCGAGATCTATGCTTTATTTCTCTATTTTGTTAATCTGCAGATTAATTTAATCTTTATTCGATATTCCGTAATCGTATCCTTGGGGGAATAACTGAAATAAATTAAGATTAAACATTGATCTTCAAATTAAAAGAGCCCGCAGTGAATATTAAGATCAAGCGATATTTTCCTAGTTTGGGTTCTCAACTTCACTTAGATCTATGTAAAACTGCACATGCTATAATAAATTTTTTTAGTTTATAAGAAGTAATTGGCAAAATTATCCTCGATTGAGAGAGCGTCAGAGCTTACAACCTTTAGGTCGCTATTGTGTATACCTTTGACCACTGACTCGCATCCCCTATAATGGATCGGTTTGAGGATCCAAGCTGTTTTCTGGACCGGGATTCAGCAGAGGCAGGATCTAAATCAGAGGTGTGATTGTTGTACACAAAAATGGCTATTTCAGCGAAATTTTTCATTAATTTTTTTTGTTATAAATGACTGGGATCTTAACTTTTTAAGAGTTACCGGTCGTCTTTACAGTCTCATCTTTTGTGGTTAATCCTGTACTATACTATAATGACGGCCTGAAACTTTAGATGTGATAATCCGACATTTGAAGTTGGCCTTTAAAAGATATATTTATCGATTTAAAAAAAAAACGAAAAAGGAAAAAGGAGTACAAATACAGCTGATTCATAATTGTCTAAATCAATTCCGTTAAGTCGTTTCTGAAGTCTCCTTTCCTTGTAGGTAGTCCCACATTGCGTAAAAGAGGAATAATGAAAATTTGCGCCTAAACAACTTTTGTGCATGATCGCGCAAAGGGCTGTATTTTTCCGGCGTTGAGATACCTGTAAGTGGTCTGGAGGGAAGGGGAGGAAAGATAAGACCAGGTTTTCTATTGTTTGTTAGTAGTTGATGATCCAAGTATGCCAAGTCGTCATATTCTCTAAACAATACGGATACAAAAGTTCAGAGAATATAACTTTTTATAACACTATGGATTCCTTCAGATCAAATATCAACAGGTTGAGAAGATATATGTATCATAAAAATAAAGTTTTTAAGAACTGTAGACATCATATTTGATCGAGGATAGCTCTAATTGAGATTTTCGCCGGGCGGGATGATAGTTCTCTACCTGTGTGCTCAGTTAGCTGTACTGTACACTTACAACTGTTTACTAATATTGATATACTATAGGTTAGGCCAGAATCAATTTATAATAAACAAATATGCAGTACGCTCTCGGTATAGTTTATGGCCTATAAAATTAGTTAAGGATTAGCGTACATCATCACTCTATACACTATAACCTCGTTGGTTAGCGTACATCATCACTCTATACACTATAACCTCGTTGGATTTTCGGGACTAAACAGATCAAGTAAGATTTGAAAATTCTATAAGGCTTATATAGAATATAAATTTGCATTAGAAAATACAAGGTTCTTTGAGAATTCAACGTGTATTTGGCGTTAAAGGGAGTGTTTGCGAAAAATGAAAGGGGGTATAGGCTTAATGCGATAAAAAAGCGCTTTTGACCGGTACTAATCTTACTTCTATCTGTTGCGTCTATAATTGGAGAAAATTGTTAAAGACGTCTCATACCGAAGAGCGTAGCGCCCATACAAATTGAGGAAATTGGAACATACGACTTAGACCGTAAAAAAATCAATTTAATTTCAAACAAATCATTCAGATATTACAACCTATAGTCATCGATTATCTTTCGCCACACTTGTATATATTTGATATTTCATACTAGTTTTGATTTTGTTTTTTAAATAATATTTAGCTTACAACTTGTTTTCGAACATTCCTGGAAAATATGAAAATGTCGTCTTCATTACCAAAAATCCTCGAAATAGGAATAAATGTTTTTTAAGTAACTCTCAGATCATAACAATTAAAAACATATTATGAAAAATCAACTATATATAAATGTGGCGAAAGATAATCGATGACTATGGGTTGTAATATCTGAATGATTTGTTTGAAATTAAATTGATTTTTTTACGGTCTAAGTCGTATGTTGCAATTTTCTCAATTTGTATGGGCGCTAAGTTATTCGGTATGAGACGTCTTTATCAATTTTCTCCTTATAGACGCAACAGATAGAAGTAAGATTAGTAGCGATCAAAAGCGCTTTTTTATCGCATTAAGCCTATACCCCCTTTCATTTTTCGCGAACACTCCCTTTAATAAAGATAAGATAAAATAAGACAAGGATGTATTGCAAAGGAAAGTTATTTCAGAAGTGTACACATCTTTTGTACTACAGTGTACTGTCTCTGGGCGGTAATGTATACACAAAACGAATGTCGAAGCCTGACATGGGATCCATCTTTCGCAAAAAAAATCAATGAAATATTCTGGTCATAGGAAACTATTAAGTGAATTATCAAAATTATCAAAATTCAATGCTTTTAACCTCCTCGGATACTAAACGAACACTGATGCATCTATTCTTGTTTACAAATTCCGCCCAAAGAGAACTGGTTTCAATGTGTACGCAGAGTATACACGACCGCAATTAACTTTCCTTGCATTACACCCTTGAGATAAGACATAGTTTATTGCTAAAAATACATATACTATTTTTATATTAATTACCATATGTACGTATTTTAGCAATTAGGTGGAGATTAGCTTTCACTCTTTAGGGTATTATCCCCACCTAATTAATATTAAAACGTTTACAATATGATGAATATTGTTAGATTCTGAAAGTTTACAAAACGTCATGGATTACTAGTTAAATTTAGAGAGACCGAGGTGCAGCATAACAAAATAATTGATTTTTCAGTTTTAAAGTTTAGTACTTATAACAGAAAAAGATAAAGCATATACAATAATCCACCAACATTTATATTCATTTAAGGCTTAATTTCAAGTGACCCTCCATGCAAAGATAGCAATGCCCGATTCACAACGGTACCCCTGAAACCATTATATGATCAGTATTGTTAAAGATATTGTTGTTTTTCAAGGTTTAAATGCAGTTAATTCTAATAATATTCAAATGCTTTCCGCACAGTAGTAGGTATGCGCAAGTCTCTTTTGTAGAAAAACCACGGTTGAAAATACATGGTTTTTAATTCATAAACATTGATATCTAATCTATACTTGATCAGACAAAGCTTTTAGGGGTACCCTTGTGAATCGGGCAATGTCATCTTTGCAGAGAGGGTCACTTGAAATTACGCGTTTAATAAAGGTTACCTTGTGATTGTTTTAATATCTCCGTACCCGTACAGTTTCCGTACATTAATCGTATACTTTAGAATATCTCCATCCTTTGTGACATTATCAGTAAATCTAAAATATCCACTTTTAAAAAACTAAAGTTTAAGTTTTAAGATTAAGGCTTGCAGATAGCTAACAGAAGAAACAAAAGGCAAAGATTACTACTATACAGTGAGAAGCAGAAAACTCTGGAATAGAAAGTTTACTTTCAAACTCAATTTATGACTTGAAAAGTCCAATAAACATGAGACACAGGCTTACAGCAAGTGTGCAATGTAAACAGATCCATTTAAATGTTCACTTCGTAAGTGGTTTAGTAACGTACTTACTATTAAATTTATTTGCTTTTTAACAACATCAAATGCTCCTCATTATTGCTCTCAAATGTTGTTTTTTTCTTTTCTACAGTTTTCTTGTTCTCTCTGAAGAAAAGGATTGCACAGCGTCCTGTATGCTTAGATTTCTATACGATACTTACTTTAGAGATTGCTTTGTTGGCAATTTAATGTCAATCACACGTTAAAATAGAATGGATGGTTAATGATTCAATTGTTTACTTTAGGAGTTCTAAGAACCGGTGTTTTTAAAAGTTCTCAGGAGCTCTTTTCTTTTCGTATTTTATAATTCTTTCCTTTCGTAAATAGAAAAAGGATGGATGTATAGGTAGAGGAATGAATGGATGAAAGGATAAATAAATGAATGAATATATGAATATCCTACCTAACTGAGTATCTAGGAGGTTTATAGTCTAGATGAGTGGGAGAAGATGGGAGCATCATTGGAACAGGAGAACTTGAAGCTGAATATCCTGGTGAATCTGGTCCCTCTGTTGAGGAACTCCGGTCCTCAACCTCTTCAACCTAGAAATTGATTCAAGGTCAGGGGGTTCAAGTTCAGGAGGTTCAAGGTCAGGAGGTTCAAGGTCAGGAGGTTCAAGGTCAGGAGGTTCAAGGTCAAGAGGTTCAAGGTCAGGAGGTTCAAGGTCAGAGGGTTCAAGGTGAAGTGGTTCAAAGTAACTTGTTTAGATAAGAATTAATAATTAATAATGATAGTGTATTCTGGTGCTAACCTCCAAATGAAGTCTATCTAGCTTGTCTAGATTATCTAGTGATAAAGGATCAGTTAAAGTTTCATCATTTTCAGCCATCATTGCACCACAAAATTAACTAAATATAATCAAAATAATATATAACCTCTTCAACCAAACAAAATAACAGATTTGTTGTTGCAGATTTAAACATGTTGAAATTAAATAAACAAAATGCAAAAACATTCGGGTACACTTATAGTTTTAAAAATCCGGGAATCTGTGTAAACGTCATAAATATAATTAAAGATTTAAACCGATATATAGAAATAAAAAACGTACTCCTTTATAAAAACATTCTACATTATGAATCACTTTTAAACAGAAAAATAATATTTTTTATTCAATTTTGATGGAATTTATCACACCTAATATTTCCCGTTGTAGGGTGATTAAGTGGCTTTATCGCCCTAAAACAGGGCGAAAAAGTGTTTTTTTCACACTGCTATTAAATTTTCAAATTTATACTTAATTTGTCTCATTGTAGGGTGATAAAGTTGCTTAATCACCCTACAACAGGGTGATTGAGTAACTTTTTCGACCTGCTTTTAAATAATTTGAGTAAAACGGAATAAAACTATATATGTTGTTGAAATGGGTATCATGCGTGCGAAAAAGTTTTTGATGTGATTTTTATAAAAATCGCGGCAAAAACTTTTTCGCTCTTAATAATACCCATTATACGATGACATAAATAGATATTATAATTGAAAATCCTAATTTGCTAACTTTGTAAGACAATTCATGTAGGTTTAATGATGGCGATCTTAATTCATTTAAATAGATTTTTACAAAACTTTGGGATTTGATAAAATCATATTTATTAATCCTTTTCTGAAAAAAAGTTTAAGTTTTTCAAAATTTTATCTTCAAAAAAATATTTTGACATTTTGAGAAAAATTTATATTTTTCATCCTGCAAAAAGCTTAATAAAATTAAATTTGTTGTAACTGTTGTGGATTTATCTCGAAATAAATTATAACATTGGAATCACTTTACTGTAAAAATGTATTTAATCGTACAACAATATTCTGATGGATGTATATATGTATAAACCTATAAATGGATAGGATGGATAATATTGATTGAATTATAAGTGTCTAAATGTATAAATGTCTAAAAATCTGAATGTATAAATGTCTGATTGTATAAATGTATAAATCTCTAAAAATCTAAATGTATAAATGTCTGATTGTATAAATGTATGAATGTCTGATTGTATAAATGTATAAATGTCTAAAATTCTGAATGTATAAATGTCTGATTGTATAAATATATCAGGGGAAACTACAGTATTTAGAGAAACCATCCAGTGAGACCAGCTGATCAAACCAAAAGAGGTCCTTTCTCAAATATTTTACAGNGGAGAGAGGAAATATAAAGGATGGGGAAGGGGATGTTTTTTTAATGATTTTTTTCTTTTCAAAAATTAAATAATAAAGTTTTTTCCAAATTTTTTTTTAATAAAAATCATGTTTTGGTTTAGTTTTGTAGTTTTTCTAATTCTAGTAGAGAGGAGGAAGAGGAGAAAGGACTTTCCAGCTCTTCCAGCTTTCTCAAGGAAGTCAGGTGTTTAAAGTTTCATCATTTTCAGCCATCATTGCACCACAAAATTAACTAAATATAATCAAAATAATATATATTGTATATATATTATATATTATATTATATATATATATATATATATATATACATAAACAATGTTCTGCGGCTAGAACAGTTATCACTCAGGACACTAAAGACATATATTACCCTCAACTAAGCTTGTTTTCCTTGTATTCATTAATATTAATATAAATACAGTCTGCACACAGCTTCATCCATTATTCTGTTGAATTTATTTCCTGCTTGTATCTCTTGTCTGTATTTCCTGCCTGTATTACCTGCCAGTACTTTCTGTCTATATTTCCTACCTGTATTTGCAACCTATATTTCCTGTCAGTATTTCCTGCCTATATTTCCTGCCTGTATTTACTGTCTGTGTTTCCTGCCTGTATTTCTCCCCGTATTTTCTGCCTTTATTTCTTGCCTGTATTTCCTGCCTTATTTCCTGCCTGTATTTCCTGCCTGTATTTCCTGTCTGTATTACCTGCCAGTATTTCCTGCCTGTATTTCCTGCCTGTATTGCCTGCCTGTATTTCCTGACTGTATACCTGTGCCTGTGTACACCAAGTATAGAACTGCATGTCCAGAAAGAGGAGTTTCTCTACTCAATAGATAACATTGTACACACTCTCTACCTTCTCTAGTCACAATTAATATATTAGATTTTATCGGAACTTAAAAAAATGACATTTTTTATTCGGTATTTCAAGTTTTCAAACTTAAGATGATGATATACGTTAATTTTTTTAATTATCTTTTTCTCGAACATCTATTCTTGTTTACACATTATTCAAATTATGCTACATCTACTTGGCAGATTTTTCAATGAGTTTTATACTATATTACGTAAATTTCAGTATTTGCGAAAATAAATAAATAAACATGAATATGCGGGAACATTTTTAAAGAGTTCCATATAATCATTTTATTAAAAAACTAAATATCTGCAACATTCCATTATCAGAAGGTGAAGAATACGACATTTGACGAGTTCTTTCGATGTATTNAATCAGGAATCAGGAATCAGGAATCAGGAATCAGGAATCAGGAATCAGGAATCAGGAATCAGGAATCAGGAATCAGGAATCAGGAATCAGGAATCAGGAATCAGGAATCAGGAATCAGGAATCAGGAATCAGGAATCAGGAATCAGGAATCAGGAATCAGGAATCAGGAATCAGGAATCAGGAATCAGGAATCAGGAATCAGGAATCAGGAATCAGGAATCAGGAATCAGGAATCAGGAATCAGGAATCAGAAATCAGGAATCAGGAATCAGGAATCAGGAATCAGGCATCAGGAATCAGGAAAACTCAATATATTTATAATCGTCTTCAGTCTACGCAGCATTTGTTCGTAAATACGAGAATAGCTGGTAACAATCTCAAAGCAACCAACATCAGTTTTCCATCATCCTGGGATTTCTAAAATGTGGTCGGTCTGTTTCATAACTTCAAAAGTGATTTTTTGAAATAAGATTTAAAAATCATTCTCATTTAGGACACAGTAAGAACCAGAAAACTGTGAAATAGGAAAGCGCCATTGAATTATAGATTTTTTTCAATGAGTAATTCTCAGTGTCATAAAATTTTAATAAGTCGACCTATACTCAACTTAGAATCTCAAGACCAAACTAGAAACATTCCCGTGGTTCTCCGCGTTCTCTGATCAAAATTAGAGGCAAATGGGTCCAAGAGATCCTTTGTTTTGATCGTACATACAAACAAACAGGCAGAGATTACTACTTTATATATATCGATATCTTTGTGTGTTAATAAATCTTTAAAATATAACAATGTATTTGATGTTGTTACAAGTCCAGGGATGTTAACGTTTTCATTTTTTTAGAAACGATCGTTTCGTTATGAAAACGACGACGAAAAATCGAAAACGAAGCGATTGTTTTTAAAAAGGATCTTTTTTTCAAAAAGTTCGTTTTTTAAAAATGGTCGTTTTTAAAACGATCGTTTTTATAAAAAATCGTCGTTTCGTTAACGATCGTTAACGACGACCCTTCGTTAACGATCGTTAACATAATGTTCAATAATTTTTTTTTTCAAAAACGATCGTTTTTCCAAGGCGATCGTTTTTTAAAAAAAACAATCGTGTAAAAAACGGTCACAAATCTTTTAAAAAAAACAATCGTTTTCTTAAACGATCGTTATTTCTTTTCTAAAAGTTCAAAACGATCGTTTATCTTCAAATAGTCTCTCAATTGTCATGTTTCAGATTAAAAATTATCTTCAAATAGGCTCGTTTAACGATCGTTTTCAAAAACGATTAGCAACCCTAACTTACAACTAGTTTTACAAGTAACTTATTAAATCACTTATTAAAAGGAATGGATCTTTTTACTCAGCACAATTGATGTGTTTCGTGTTTATTGGGTGAATTAAAGTCATAATTTATATTCCAGACTTTTCCGGTTCTTACTATACTTTATTTGTTATTGAATGAGATTCTTAACAAACAAAAATTTAAAAAGTAACAATTCTAAATTCGTTTATTTATGAAATTTAACTAAAAAAGGAATACATTGTTATGAATAAAACATAAACAAAATTATAACTCATTTGTTACTTTAATTCTAAAATTTAAAGATTCTTGAAATCATTTGATAATCTTAATCCACGCATTTCCAAAAGGTAGTCTGTTATTTTCGAGGCAGACCACATTTTAAAAATACTAGAAACAGGGGAATTAATTGTGATTATTTTTCCATAAACATTGAATTATATGTTGATGTATGAATGCCGCAAATGATTTCTAAGATTAAAGATGATCTTCAAATAGTCTCTCAACTGTCATATTGCGTTGGATACCCTGTCATTGCAAAATGTTAACAAACCCTATATGCTCTCAAAAAATGAATGTAGAACTTTGTAGATTTTTGATTTCAAGTGACCCTCTCTGCAAAGATGACATTGCCCGATTCACCAGGGTACCCCTAAAAGCTTTGTCTGATCAAGTATAGATTAGATATCAATGTTTATGAATTAAAAACCCATTTAAAGCTTGAAAAACAACAATATCTTTAATAATACTGATCATATAATGGTTTCAGGGGTACCGTTGTGAATCGGGCATTGCTATCTTTGCATGGAGGGTCACTTGAAATTAAGCCTTAAATGAATACAAATGTTGGTAGATTATTCTACATGCTTAATATTATTCTGTTAAACGTACTAAACTTAAAACTGAAAATTCAATTATTTTGTTATGCTGCACCTCGGTCTCTCTAAATTTAATTAGTAATCCCTCACTTATTGTAAACTTTCAAAACCTAGTAATATTCATCATATTGTAAACTTTTTAAATATTAATTAGGTGGGGATAATACTCAAAACAGCAAATAGATAATCTCCACCTAATGGCTATAATTACATAAATATAGTAAACAATATAAAAATAGTTGCAGATTTTTTGCCTGTAACATTATAACTTGTATGTGTATTTTTAGCAATAAACTATATCTTTTCTTATCTTAAACACTGGTGAATATGAAGACGACTTTGAAATCTTAAATACTGTGGAATATGAAGACGACTTTACAATCTTAAACACTGGTGAATATGAAGACGACTTTACAATCTTAAACACTGGTGAATATGAAGACGACTTTACAATCTTAAACACTGTGGATATGAAGACGACTTTAAGATTAATGATATGAGTTTAATTAGTCCAATGAACATAAACACTGTGGATATGAAGACGACTTTAAGATTAATGATATGAGTTTAATGAACATAAAACATAGCAAAAGTTTAATGTACTCAGACCCATTTCTTTGAATAAGTTGATTCTAGGGCACATGTAAAACTTTTTACTTTTTAACATCATCAAAGAAATTTAAGATTGCAAAAATGTCGTTTTTTTCCAATATTCTTTTTGGGTCTCACTGTATGCTAACATCAAAATGATTTTAACGATTCTTTTAATAAAATATATTATTTTAAAAATTTGCTATGCTTTCTCTTCGATTTCTTCCATCTTCTTCTCCTTCTCGTAGGTCGGCATCTTCTTCCCCATGAGCTTGTACAACAGGGGCCTCACAATCACGTCGTTGTAGATCCACATTCCCGTAATCAGCACAACAAAACCAACAGGCTAAAATAAACAATTATTAAATTATTAAATCATAAATTATTAAATTATTAAAGTATTAAATTATTAAACTATTAGATTATTAAATTATTAAATTATTAAATTATTAAATTATTGAATTATTGAATTATTGAATTATTAAATTATTAAATTATTAAATTATTAAAGGGATTGTACTTGCAATTTCAAGTGACCCTCCTCCAACTTAAAATCTTTAATGAGAAGAAAAAAAATGTTTTGAATTTTGAGAAACCGTATAATTTTAGTTTTCTTATACTTGTGAGAAAATAAAACTTAATGACCTACGAGGTTACAATGTCATACCAGTAATGTCACATAAATTTGACTGTACAGGGTGTCCCACGAAACATGACAGTTGGTGAATAGTTTTAACGTCGTCTTCCATACACTGTATTCGATATTAATGGCTTTATGCAGTTTATTTCGTTTAGAAATCTTTTGCTCAAATATCTTACATTGAAAAGCATTTTACTATAAAATGACTCCTATATAATATTTTAATTATTGTCTTTGGTATTAAACAACATAATAAATAATGGAAGAGGACATTCTTAACTATTTACCAACTGTCATGTTTCGTGGGACACCCTGTATCTCCTTAATTCCCAATGTGGTTGGTACTGTTTAAAAGGCCACTCCACTATAGTGGGTGTAGAAGTAAATATTTACATTTACTGTTGGCGCCGATTACAGGATTCATAACTCTAATTGGATAATGAGATAGATAGAAAGATAGATGTTACCCCCAAACTATTTCTATTGGTTCAGAATAGACAACAAACACATGCCTGAACCCTGATTGGATCAGGCGCTAATGGACTCGGCAAACAAGTGTCACTCTTTGATTGGAGGCTAACTTAAATACGTCAGCACTCAGCAGTCCCTTTTATTATTATTTTCCAAAAAAAGAAGAATTTTTGTTTATTCTAACTTGTTTGTTTAAGTTTATTGTTTAAGTTTATTGTTTAAGTTTATTGTTTAAGTTTATTGTTTAAGTTTATTGTTTAAGTTTATAAATCAGAATAAATAAAAATAACAAATAAAACATGTTGGACATAATGATATACGGTCTTTGTATTGAAATAAAAAAAACTTTTTATCGAAAATAAGTTATTTTTGTATTTTAAAGGGACTGTAAACGTAGTGTTTAAGTGACCCTCCATTGACAGAATGTTATCTCCGATTCACATTTGTCTGATCAAGTAGAAATCAGATATCCATGTTTATCTTTTTAAAAACTTAATTTCTGCAAAAGCGACTTCCATATTTCTTGCTTCAGAAACAATAGAAAAATTGTCAGAATTAAATATCTTTAAGCTAAAAAGCGACGTTATCTTCAATATTCTTGATCAGATTAAGGTTTCAAGGGTACCGTTGTGAATTAGACTTGCCCCTCTTTGATAGGCGGGTCACTTGATATTAGGAATGTACTTGAAAAAAAACGTTAATCGCAAAATAAAAAGTTTAAAATACGAATAACAAATCGACAAGGAAGATAAATTATTGAACTTTGATGTTTGTGAACAAACATTTCAAAAAGATTAGGCAATAATAATTCAAAAACGGATTGCATAATTGACATCATCAAAATATTATTTTTCCTTAAATAAATTTGAAAGAATGATTCCAAAACTAAAATGAAAAGATAGTGAGGCAGTGTCTTATCTGGGATTCCATCTTTTTTTATTTTAATATATATATATTTCTTCGTCAATCTTCTTCAAAAAAAAATCTTGTAAGCGTATTTTTTCCAATGATTAGGTTTTTTAACACTCATTATTTACAATTGCTCTATGCAAGGAAGTTTGAGAATTATAAATTACAAATAATTTTGCCAAGTAAAACATGCAGAGCGTATAAAATGAAAAGAAAGAATATTATAAATGCTTTTCTTATATTTACTATAACTAGCCTTAGAGGGCGCTTCGCGCCCATCTTCTAAATTAATTGTGAACATGTTCTCTTTGTGTACATCGTAAAACAAAACAAAAATAATTCGCGGATTTTCACAAAAAATTTCGTGGATTTTAAAAATTTTTAAAAATTTAATGACGATCGAATTTTGATGGAGACAAATATTTGAAATTTTGATCATTCATAAACCTTCCCTGGGGTCCCTAGATGTCCCACAAAAAATTTGGGCCCGATCGGTTCAGCCGTTTTGACGTTTATTGGATACAAACAGACAGACAGACAAACAGACAAACAGACAAGCCAAATCTATATATAAATTTGGCTTGTCTGTCTGTTTGTCTGTCTTTCTGTCTGTTTGTATCCAATAAACGTCAAAACGGCTGAACCGATCGGGCCCAAATTTTTTGTGGGACATCTGGGGACCCCAGGGAAGGTTTATGAATGATTGAAATTTTAAATATTTGTCTCCATCAAAATTCGATCTCCATTAAATTTTTTAAAATTTTGAAAATCCACGAATTTTTTTGTGAAAATCCGCGAATTATTTTTGTTTTGTTTTACGATATACATAAAGAGAACATGTTCACAATTAATTTAGAAGAGGGTCGCGAAGCGCCCTCTAAGGCTAGTTTATATATAAATGTTGTTTCTTCTATAAATGCTGCATTGCAAATAATTAACAGTTAAAAGTTAACAAATAATATTACGCAAAAATTAAGCAGCCAACGAGAAAAAAACTTTGCATTCCAGAATTAAAAACTAAACTACTAGCGCCTATTCAGTAAAGTTTAAAGGGATTTTAAACAGTGTTGACCAACATTACCAACCCACAGAGGGTACTTTTAAGGGAAGTTAAGCAAATTTTATTAAACCAAATAGTTGCGAACTATAAAGGAGTGGCCGCAAATAAATAAAATAAATTAAAAGGATTTTTTTCTCAACTAACTCTTCTTTCCCGTCATTTCCATTAAAGAGACTATTAATTTAATTTCAAGTAAACATTTCTGCAAAGGTTACAATTCCTAATTCATCCAACAGTATCCTTTATCTATATCAATAATGTGGAAGATATTGTGATTTTTATGGGATAAAAATCAGAAACATTGATACAGCGTTTTCAGATTTCTTAGTGAATCGGGCAATGCCATCTGTGGGTGGAGGGTTACTTGAATATACGCTTACAGTCCCTTATAGCCCCTTATAGTCCCTTATAGTCCCTTATAGTCCCTAATAGTCCCTTATAGTCCATTAATAGTCCCTTGTAGTCCCTTGTAGTCCCTTATAGTCCCTTGTAGTCCCTTGTAGTCCCTTGTAGTCCCTTATAGTCCCTTGTAGTCCCTTGTAGTCCCTTATAGTCCCTTGTAGTCCCTTGTAGTCCCTTATAGTCCCTTGTAGTCCCTTGTAGTCCATTATAGTCCCTTATAGTCCCATGTAGTCCCTTGTAGAAGGATAGTCCCTTGTAGTCCCTTATAGTCCCTTATAGTCCCGTGTAGTCCCTTGTAGTTCCTTATAGTCCCTTGTAGTCCCTTGTAGTCCCTTATAGTCCCTTATATTCTCTTATAGTCCCTTGTAGTCCCTTATATTCATCCAAACTTACCGTAAGAGGATTAAATTCCTGCCAGCCTATTATAAGTGAGAAACCCCAAATAAAGATTTGTCTAATATTGTCGAGAACAGCTCGGGTTGTACTTGTCAGCTCCTTTGTAACCGTGATTCCTAGGCATTAAACTTATTTTGATATTTTTGTGCATTTTCTACCTTAAGGGGAGGGTTACCAAAGCTTCGTTTTAACAATCTTGTTGACTTTAAATATTGTTTGCATGGCTTTAAAAATATTCTTGAGCTTTATTATGAAGAAAAAAATAAGCTTTCGAAGAACACACTTTTTAATATCTTAGTCTCCTTAGATTTATGTTCAAAAACTTGAGTCTAGGAAGAAATCATCATCAATGGAGTCCTATCAGAGACCCCCAGGCCCCAGGGATGTCTCATCGGAGACTCAAGATTTTCATTGGAGACCCCATGCTTTTGAGCCCAGCCAATCTTAATTAGTGTAATAGTAGCTGAAGTGCCAGGCGTTGGCCGTGGAATTAAAAAAAAAAAAATTTAAATCGAATTTGGAAGAAAAGTAAAAATTTTAAAGAAAACAAATTCAAATTTTATTAGCCTAATGTACTCAAGGGTTTTCTAAAAAAAATTCAGCCCATTCGGTCTAGCCGTTTGGCCAGCTATTGCTATATAGAAATATATATATATATATATATATATATATATACATATATATAGCAATTTACATATATGCAATGAGCGAAGAGCTTTATTACATAGATAAGTAATAATAATACCTGCAAAATTAAAGCAAGCAATGGAGAACATATTTCCTATCGTCCATCCTAATATTCCAGGACTGTTGGCGATCTGAGTAAACCCATCTATAGCATCCTCAAATCTAAAATAAACAATCCATTTCAAAATGCTCAAGAATAAATTTCAAAGTAAAAGTTTAAAAATATTTTTATTTAGAAATATATTGAAAACAAGCTAAAGGGCCTGGCGTTAACCGTGAAAAAAAATTGAGAAAAAAAGAAAATTTTAAAAAAATATTTGAAGAAAATAGCTTCGAATTTTTTTAGCCTTTGTCATCCACAGTCTACCCATGAGTGTCCACAAAAAATGTCAGCCGATTCGGTCCAGCTGTTTGGCCGGCAAGAGGGAACATATATACGAATGTCTTGTTTTATTATAAAGATTAATAATTATTTTCAGTTGAATAGTTTAACAGTGATAACAAGTAATAGGAAGACGACTTTACGGCAATACTTAAATGTATTAAGGGTTGTTAATCGTTTTTGAAAACGATCGTTAAACGATCGTTTTTTGCTTCGTTTTTTAATCGTTTTCAAAAACGATCGTTTCGTTTTCGGAAAAAAACGAACATTTTAAAAAACGACCTACTCGTTTTAAACTTTTAGAAAACGAATAACGATCGTTTTTGAAAACGATTGTTAACGAAACGAAGAGTTTAAAAAAACGATCGTTTTGAAAAACGATCATTTTTCAAAACGATCGTTTGTAAAAACGATCGTTTCGTTTATGATTTTTCGTCGCATTTTTTATAACGAAACGATCGTTTTTAAAAAAAAAGAAAACGTTAACATCCCTATATGCAGCTCCGAGCCTCCGCTACAAATTGTATACTAAGACTTCAACAGTTTTTACGCGAAAAGGAATATATTACGAAAACAAATTCTAAGACGAATTCGATTTGATTTGTTGAAACCTTTGATTTCAGAAATAACTTTTTGAGATTTTTTTAATTAAGATAATTAATTTTTTTATAAGCAATTATCCAAGATTTTAATAAATCTAGTCGAATTTACTTTATAATTTGTTTTTTTAATATCTTCCTTTTTGCATAAAGACTTTTGAAGTTTTAGTATGAAATTTAAACTGTTAGCGGAGACTTGGTGCTCATAGCAAATTTGAGAGGCTCATGGGCAAAGAGAATAAAATAAATATTAAATCCATACTGCAAGAGTACTTCACATATTTATGCTTTTGGGCCCTGGAACATCATTTTATAGAAAATCTAAAATTAATATTAAAAGAAAACCAAATTATGAAATAGGCTGGTTTCATAATTGACCTATAATCATTTCACATAGACTCTATGCCTTTCACTTTACAACGATGATTTTCCATTATAACTATAAATCAAACAATGTTTTTATTCACCTAATTCATTATATAAAGTTTATTTAACAGCTTTAAAAAATTGAAATTGAATTGAATAGTCTAGAGAACATACTGTATTAATGTACTCTACTGCATATAGTTTGTCAACATTTTCATGATTTGTACACTTTAAACTCCCTTTCAGGCTGAAAGGGACTGACAAAATTCATACTGAGGGATTGTCTAAATTCCACTCTAATATATATTCTATTCTCTTTGCTCATAGCGGTCGGGGATTCCCTCCCACACGTCGGGAGCAAGGTGGCGAGGTGTTCCGTGTTGTTGGGTGCAGGGGGAGAGATAAATAAGTTTATACCTTAATTCAGGCCCCAGTCCGAAACTTTCTCCAGTGTAAATAAAGTACATTGGCCATAGAAGAATTCCGATTGTTGAAAATCCAAAAATGCCTGAAAATAATATGACAATTTGTTTATAATGTATTCTGTCTTTTTCCTTATATTCACGATTCCCTCCATTGTAATTTTGTTTTTTTCTTTTCCAAATTATTAAATAAGCTATTAGATAATTACATATATAACGCAGAATCAAGGGGGCTAGATCTTAGCTATAACCTGTCTTGTGTGTATTAGCCTGAGTGTATACTTAGGATAGTTTACTGATAAAGGGTATTAAGAGATTATGGCCTATTCATTCTGTACAAATATCAAATATGCAGTACGCTTTCGGAGTACAAGTGAATGGGGAGGTTTTGTACCTTAAATTTTACTCAGTTTACTCAGAACAGTTTATTACCCGGGTAGAATCTTAGAGTCTGAAACCTAGTCTTAGACGCCGGGCCGACCTCCTCAGACCCTCTGTTTTTGGAAAAAAATATCAAATTTCACCAAATATATGTAATATGAGCAAAAACCATTAAAATATTTGAGCATTCCTCTCCCCATCCCTTTCTTCAAGCACCCCTCCATATGTCCCAACCCCAGTTTCTGCTGTTTCCCCCCAAGTCTGATAGAGGTCGTTGTTCAAGACTCTCTTCAGTTTTATTATGTATCATATTTCTTCAACATGTGTTATGTCCCAACCCCAGTTTCTGCTGTTTCCCCCC